GAGAGAGAGAGAGAGAGAGAGAGAGAGAGAGAGAGAGAGAGAGAGAGAGAGAGAGAGAGAGAGATTGGATGACATTTGGAATCCGACTCGACATTGGGATAAAGACATTGGATGGGGGAGTATTTGGGATCTATATCGAAGACTTGGTGTTGACGACATCCTGGCCCTTCCCTTCCTCTTCGTCTGATCCCCCTCCTTTTCGTATGTGTATGATCTGAGCCTGGCACATTCCTCCTGTGTGTAGCGCCAGACCCCTTCACACCTTGCGATGATGATGATGTATGTTTGGTCTGCATTACGACATTGATTGGTGTGATCATTGGTATTTTACCCTTCCGCTGCGCTATCCTGTACTATGTGAGAGAGGTCGGTTCTTGTTCTAATTTGCACCTTTACAGTATGCGACACTTGGACTGTTGATCCCATTTCTATTAATTTTTTTTTAGCCTACTATGGCGGGAGTTTTGAGCATCCTCCCATAGTGTTTTCTACCCCGTAGATGCACGGATCTCCCCTATTGGTGAGGAATCTGAACAGTGCAATAACCCATGCCATATGTCTCGTGGAAAGACTGAGGGTTAACTCGGCCGCCCTCAGCCCGGGCCAAAACGGGGCCAAAAAGGACGTCATACGAGGACTCAGGGCCTGGATGTGAGACAATTGATTTTGGTCAACTGTCGTGACCCCAACAGTCAAAGTCCAAAGGTACCTAGCCCGGGCCGCTAGTCAAGCACACACACTTGTTTGTATGCAGGTACCTTGACAGCATCAGGTCCAAGGAAGAAGTCTGCAACTGCACAATCTGGGCCCTCAGCTGTGAGTCAATCTGGACGACTGTGGAGAAAGCACCCGAGGCCAGACAACCTCGACAATTGCTACTTAAGGCCGGTCTCGAGTGAGTCAAACATTCAATCTTGCTATTTTGCCTTGACGCTGGCTTGACTTTGACTAGACGCTGGTATTATGCTGACTCGACGCTGGCTAGATGTTGGCTGTGCACTGGCGATGCGGACGATGGCACGAGGTGGAAGCAGCATGCTGGCACTTTTTGCATTGTGTGCCAAGCTTGCTGAGGTGGCATGCTGATGTGGCGCTACCTCTGGTCTTCATGGCATGTTGATGTGGCGCTACCTGTGGTCTACATTGCATGTTGATGTGGCGCTACCTCTGGTCTACATTGCATGATGATGTGGTGCTACCTCTGGTCTACATTGCATGCTGATGTGGCGCTGCCTCTGGTTTACATTGCATGCTGATGTAGCGCTGCCTCTGGTTTACAGTGCATGATGATGTGGCGCTACTTTTGGTCTACATTGCATATTGATGTGGCGCTCCTACTAGATTACATTGTTGATGTGACATATGCCACCTGTCTCGAGTTTTGACGTGGCATTGTCGACGCTGTCTACATGAGGCAACTGGTTGCGAGGAGGAAGATCGGGATCTAACATAGAATTCCTGAAAACCTAACAAAACAAATTTTTAGGTTTGCACGATTTTTTTTAATGATTTTTATAATACATTTTTCAAGCCTCCAACATGAAGCGGTAGTTCTGACCTTCAACCTAAAATCCGCCTCGCCCGACCAACCAAGCTACAAGTTCCTCCCCACTTTCCTGATGCTGTTATCATTGTTGTCATTAACTCTCCTGTCGCCGTTATGGCAGCCTTCAACCACAAACCCCACATCTTGTTGCTATTGTTGTTGTTGTTGTTGTTGTTGTTGTTGTTGTTATATCTGTTGTTAATATTGGCGATGTTGATAGTGTTGTTGTTGAGGTCGTTGCTGATGTTGTTTGTCGTCCCTCGCGCTCTCGCCACCCATTTCACCCAATCCCATCAGGCACAAAACCTCCTTCGCGAGCCCTAGCAAGGTCCTAATTCCCTCCCCCTTTGTTGTTGGCGGCATCTCTCCCTTGA